TGGGGGCCAGAGGCTGTCCTTGTGGCCAGCTCCATTCCCCTATCTCTTGTCCAACCTCTAAGGTGTTCTCTAGTCGCAGTCTAGACTGAGCACATTGGTTCAGCTGAATAACCTCCATCCTCAGAGTGCTGCAAGGAGCTCTGCACGGGTGTCTGGCCCCCCATGGATGGGTCACTGGGTCAGGTGTCCATGGTTGGTCCATTCAGAGTCCACCTCAGCTCCATGACCAGGCAGGACAGTCTCTCAGGCCCTGAGGGTGGCAGCCTTAGAGGGATTAATTTGTTCAGTGAGTGATACACAGACTATGTACCAGAGGAGAGAGGACAATAGTGGGGAAAGGCTGGAAGATGTGAGATTGTAGGTTGAAAGATTTATAGGATTTCTCATGTAGTAAGTTTTGGATTTGACCCATCATATTGCTTTAGTAGGAAAAAAGGAAGATAAATGCTCTTAATGAAATTTGGGTGCTTGCAAAATTAAAAATCATTCACAAAAGCTGGTCCTTGCTCACCTCCTTGGTCTTGTTAAATGCCGCCCTTACCCTCGACCTCTGTGCTTTAGGCACAAATTATTCCGTTAGTTTCTTTTTTTTTTTCCACTAGTTTTTTAAACCCACTCATCTGTCTGATCCCAGAGCCTTCCCCTGTGCTGTTCCCTCTGCCTGGAATGTTGTTTGTCTGCTTGCTGTCCTCCTTCAGGCGTTGTCCGAGGTGGCCCAGCCCCACAGGCATCTCCCCCGCCCTCTGTGCTTCTCTTGGTCCGTGCCTGTCACTGTTAGTTGACAGGGCCTGATAGTCTGTGTGAGGCCTGTTCTCCCTGTGTCTTTGGGACCTAGTAGCCCAGGACTCTGCACACATGTACACGTCAGTATGTAGTAAATGAGTGTATGAAAGCTATATAATCGTCACTTGTCTTGAACTAAACATGATGTCCCCTTTTCCACATTCTGTAAATGTCTTTATCCTTTGTGAAGACAGGCACATCGGTCAGGAACTTACTAGTGGTGATGTCATGTTTTTTCCTTCTAGCTTTACTGAGATATAATTGACAAAATTGTACGATATTTAAAGTGTGCAATGTGATGATTTAATACACATGTGCATTGTGAAAGGGTTTCTTCCAGGGGATATAATGTTAAGGCACACAACGAAGGGAAAATAAGCTTCTTTGTTTAAAAAAAAAAAAAAGGAGTCCTTCAGTGGCCATCAGGGGTCAGTATAGTCCAAGAAATGAGGGGCCTGGACCCAGCCCTGAGCTCTGGTTTTTTGTCTTTCCTTGATTCCTGCACAGCATTCAAGAATGATACACACACACACACACACACACAAATAAATAATATATGTGTATGTATGTATATATATAAAATTACACTTTTCTTTTAGCAATTAATAATGACTATGGAGGAAGTATATTAATTATTTAAGTAGTCACCATTATAGCCCATATTTTAATTTCCCCAAGGCAGTGACAGTATAAATCTTAGGAAGGGGAAATATTTATTTTCAGGAGAGTGTTTTGAAATCCCAGTTTGTCTCTAGAAAAAATATGGAATGATCCTAGTATTACTACTGAAGGACAATGTATTAAAAAAAAAATACAGAACATACCAGAGCTTTGTTTTGTGGTTACAGTGCAGATAATCAGACTGGCATTTTTTCATTCCCCATCCACTAGATCGGGAGAAGACTCCTTTAGGTAAAACACACTTGATTGTCCCCTTGGTATTTCTGTAACTGTAACTGTTTATAGAATAAGAGCAAATGAAATCTTTTAATATACTGTTAACCTTTCTGGGTTACTTACATTGCTTTTGAATTTCAAGTATTGTTTTTCACCTTTAGGCTTTTTAATGACAAGTAATTATTTTGATTGAGTACGATTTCTAGGTTTTTATTTTTCTTTTAATCCCCTCTATTTTGCAGTGTATGATGGTGGAGCAGATAAGACCTGCTGTAAGGGATGCAAGACACAGAACCTCCTAGCCCAGGGCAAGCCCCACCGCCAGCTGGGAGTCCTGCTACTGGACCCACTACAGCCACCCATCCCCTGGGGTAAGTCACCAGGCTGAAGGGGGGAAGGCAGGAGGCCCTTCAGAGAGTCCACCCAAGGTGGGAGGCCTCAGCAATAGAAGAAGGCAGGGAAGCAAGCCACACACAACCTGGCCTCATCCCCAAGTCCTGAAGGAGCATCCTCTGGAGATGCTGCTGGCCCCTGCCAGCCTGGACCAGTATGTTCTGCTCTGGGAAAGGTAGGGGGAGGCAACCATGATCTGCCAATACGGAGTGTCCTCCGGGAGGTCAGAGGCTGTGATTATTTGGTGGGCTCCCAACACCCCCAGGAGGCCGTCACTGCCTCTGAGTCAGTGAGGAGGTGTAAGCTCCCTCTTACTGCACATGGTACCCAATTCCCACTACACTTAGCACTTCAGGTAGACCTGGGCCCCACCCCATGTCCCCAAGGCCTCTTGCATATAACCACAGCTTTTCCCCCAGGAGCATGATGTAGTTTTAAAAAAAAGCACTAGACCAGAAATTTGGGGACCTGAATTATTTTCCTATGCAGTAACAACCTCTGTGGCTCTGAGTGGGCCACTTACCTCCACTTCCTCATCTATCATGATATCTGTGGTTGTGAATATCAAACAAGAAATGAAAGCAACCCCCAAACTAGGCAGCATTCCAGAAAGGTCTGAGACGGTTAAGGATACCATCAGTAGCCACTTTAAATCGTAGGAGATCAGGGGCAATGGACAGAGCACCCCAAACCTGAGAAAACCTAAGCCACTGCTATGAAACAGGTTACACAGGAAGGACCTGCTGGGGACAGAGGAAAACCTCAGCCTGGGCAGAAACCACGTCCAGGTTTTCAAACTTCCTGTCTGGAGTTTCTGTTTATGAGGCAGGCTGCTGTCGGCACCCGGGCAAGCCAGCTTGTGTGTTCCATGTTAGGTGTCACCGCCAGAGCACAGCAACAGGGCGGTTCCACGCAGGTCAGAGGTCTCTACTGCCCATGAAGTGATGACGCCTTTGGCAGAGATTGGCCACATGCCTCTCCTCCTGGTTTCATCTCCAAGTATGTTTTTACTTGGAGGGGAGGGGCTAGAAGGTGGTGCCGACCCAAACTTCACGGACATCACTGGCAACACCACTCTCCACTACGCTGCCTTGTTTGCAAATACTTCAATTGTGGCAAAGCTGCTTTCCTACAATGCCAATATTGAAACAAGAAACAAGGTATAATAGCTCCACTAGCTTTATTTACAAAATAATTTGGAATACAGGGTCTTTTTTAGCTACAGGTGTTACATTTATAGTATGTATACTGAATACAATCTCAGGCCCTGTTACCGTGGAAACAACTCCAAAGCCAAGGCCGGGGCTAGTGAAAGGTGGTGCCCACAGAAAGGGCACTCTGTCTCCCAGCCCCTCCTCTATCCTGGAAGGAACACCGCCCCATTAGGAAGTGCCTGGGAGTGGGTGGTAGGCTCAGAGCCCACGGAAGATGAAAGCCTGGGGCGAGTGAAGTGATGGTGGGGGCTGACTGCCTGCGGAGGCAGAGGTGCTACTGGGATGGGTGGAAGGAGGAAGGAGACCCAGTACCCAGCAGGGGAGCTGGGTGAGTGCACCTGGGCAGGGGAGGCAGTAGGCCACAGGCCCTGAGCACCCCAGAACCTCCAGTTCTATGATCAGGGCAAATGAGGTCAGGTCTTGTTTGACAGCCAGCAAGGGTGTTCACTGGTGCTGGTGGCCACATGGCCTGCTATGTACACGTTGGGGGTCTTCCACACTCAGCCTGGTGCAGCTTCTCAGCGGGGCTGTGGCTACATATGGGGAGCAGGTGATGGCGAAGCTGGTCCTTCTGCTTTTCCTCCGGGACATCCGTTGCCTCCCGCTGCTGCAGCCCTGCCAGGGATGCCCTCCGCTGACATTGTAGGTGCAGTTTTACATATTGGAGGTTCAGGCACTCCCTGTGTGAAAATATTTGGAAAAAACTTAATTGTCTGAGATTTCACTTTAAATGAGATTGCCATCAAAGCATTAAAAGGTACAGCTTTCTTTTATTTATTTATGGCAGCTATTTATGAAAACATTGCTTTTGTTGCAAACAAAAAATTTTTTCAAGTATTTTTCCCTACTCGAATTTCTTTCTGATTAGCATAAAAATAGAAGAAAGCAAAACTTGCCTTGGAAATAGACTTTGTCTTAATACTCAGACAAAAACATCTGACAATATAATCAAAATCTTGCTGCTGTGGATAAGTTCCTGTTTTATTTAAAAAATGATTTATATAAAAGTGATTTCTCTGTCATTGCCCAAGGCTTAAGAGGGAAAAAAGAAACAGACTGGAGAAAGCGGTTGAAATATGCAGGCCAGTTTGGAAATTGGATAATTGGAAATTACCAAGAGGAGGTTTCTGTTTTTGTTTTCCTTCTCCTTCTGTTTATGTAGGTGGGCAAGCTACTCTTCAGTTGTCAGGGATAATCATTCTCATTTTGGGAAAGAGGGAGTGAATTGTAAACTTGGGAGAGATCAGTTTTATGAGGACTCTGAGGGAATCACACTGGTGGTGAACAGGTGATGATTAAGTGGGAAGTAGGAGAGAAGAACAGATAATTAACTGGCCCAGTGTCCTATTCTGGCAGAAACAGCCACTGAGATAAGAGTCTAGACTTGGCTTTCAAATCTAGGATGTCTTGATGGGAAGTAAGGAATGCATAGATAATAAAATCAAGTTGCTTCTGAATTGACTAGCCCCTGTTCTACCGCTGTTTACCCAGGACAATGAAATGCAGTTTTGTTAAGTAACTTTTCTCTCTCACACTTTTCTTTCTTTGTGCAAATCCTCAAATGAGAAAAGGAACTGGCCATGTGGGTAAGAAATGAAACTGCAGTGGTCGGTTGTCTCCTGCATGAGTTCTCAGCTAGAATTGTGCTGGTGAACCACAATCACCTGGGAGAATTTACAAAAAATTTACAAGCCTAGGCTCTACCCTCAAGATTGTGATTGAATAAATCTGGTAAGGCCTGGACCACGGATATTTAGAAATAGTTCCTTGAGATTCTGATACAACCCTTGGTTAAGAACTATTGAATAGATAGGTGTAATACCTGTAAATTCACAGATCTCAAAAAAAGCCCTCTCTTTAGAAGAGTGGGAGTTTGACAGATGCTATTTCCTTCAGTGCTCTCCTTTCCAGCCACATAAGCCTGACTTTAATCCGTCTCTACTTCTGTGCTTGACAAGTTAAAAGAAATATTATTGGCAGTATCTGTGGGCTTGAAGAATAACTCCTTTTTCCTAGCAACCACTGATCATTCGGTGACACTCAGTCTTAGAAATTTGCTTATGGTGAACGATTTAATACGTAGAGCCCTTTAAGGATTTTACACCTTTTGTTACCATCCAAGTCACTAGGCCAACAGGGTTTTCCTGACTGTGATCATAGTAAATCATGACCTTTCTTTTGGTTAAAGCTATGTGGCAGACTCTTGGAATATATCTGTTAGATTCACTGAGTGCTGGCATAATCAAAATGCAGTTTTATTATTTTTATTGCAGTATAGTTGATTTAGTGTTGTGTTTATTTCTGGGGTACAGCAAAGTGGTTCAGTTTTATATATGTATATATATATATACACACACACACACACACACACGCATAAACACATACTTTTTCATAATCTTTTCCATTTTGGTTTATTACAGGATATTGAGTATATTTCCCTATACTACACAGTAGGACTTTGTTCTTTATCTATTTTATATATAGTAGTTGGTATCTGCGAATCCCAAAGTGGTCATTTTTCCCCCCACCACCCCCTTTCCCCTTTGGTAACCATCAGTTGGTTTTCAATGTCTATGAGTCTGCTTCTGTTTTGTAAATAAGTTAATTTGTATCATATTTTAGAGTCCATATATTAAGTGGTATCACATGGGATTTATCTTTCTCTTTCTGATTTACCTCATTCAGTGTGATCATCTCTAGGTCCATTCATGTTGCTGCAGATGGCATTATTTCATTCTTTTTTTAATGACTGAATAGTATTCTATTATATATAAGTATACCGTGCAAGATGGCAGTTTCAAACATCCAAACCCATGAAGTTAGTAACAGATGAGAATTGTTTTAATAATTTAGTTTCAGCCATCTTACGAACTAATTGTCCATTTGATTAAAAATAAGAGAAATTGTGATACAGACAGATTGTAGTTTTAGTAGGCGTTGGAAATCCAATTCTTGAAGTGGGTATTATGGGTCTTAATAGCAACTTTTATGACATGTTGGGGCCCAGTTTATTTTCTGTAAAAACGTATGATACTAAAGAAAGGAAAGGTTTTACGTCCAAATATTTGCTTTATACCCAACTGTTTGGAAACACAGCAAACAGAAAAATACAGGTGGGCTGTAGACTAAACGTGGTCCCTGCATATGTTCAGTTTGCCTCCACATATTGAATCAACATTGAAAATTTAGGAGACTCGTGCAGAAATGTGCATTTCAGACTTCTCCTAAAGAAACAAATCTGGTCCCCTTTGAGCCCAGGCTGCTGTGTGGTCTGCTGTGCAGAGGCGGCCCCTTCTCAGTGGGGCGTGTGTTCTCCGGTTTGCTGTCCTCACCTGGGACCTTCAGTTACACGGGTCACCTACTTTGCCTCTGTAAGCATTTGACTTTACAATTCCTGTTATATAGTATATTTTGATAATTATTTTCAAGATTTGAAAGACAGTTGATACTAATTTATGATCTATTTCATATTTTATAATAATCTCTTAAGAATGGGACTGAATTTTTCAAATTAGAATTTATAAGTTGCTTTTTAAAAAAAACTTTTTCTTTACATGTACATGCAAATAATCATACTCCCATTGGAATGTCTGTAAACCTGATGAGGTTGGTCATGGTTGTAGTTGGATAGGTTATGCATATTGCAGACAGTGTATCTTTCCCCTAAGTCTGGTTCCTTAAAAATGCAGTTGACTTAGTAGCTAAATGGTTCTCTGTGGAGCTGTGTTGAGAATTTTGAGAGTAATAGTAGAGCAAAAAGGTGAGTACAGGAATGCCTGGTAGACACTGATAGAAAAGAAGCTTCTTGGAGCCAGTAAATGTTTGAAGTGAGTTTTAGAGAATGACTTTACAGTGAATCTTTTGAAGAGGTCAAGGAGGAACGTTTTAAAGAGTAGGAGCCCAGAGGGGTGAGGGTGAGAGGCCACTCTTTATTTACTGCATATGATATGCGTAAGTTCAGAGACTGTTACAAGTATTACACTCAGTTTTGAAATATGTAGTTTTGTACATTATAAGCTGTTTTTGCTGTTTACAGGATGACCTTACACCACTGTTACTTGCTGTAAGTGAAAACAAAGAGCAAATGGCAGAATTTCTAGTAAAGAAAGAGGCAAATATACATGCAGTTGATAAGTGGAAAAGGTCAGTAGTATGTTCTTTTTTGTTTTTAACCTTAGTGTTGTTTTAGAGTAGTAACAGCCACAATGGAGGAAGTATGAAAAAGGAACAGCTGTCAGGTTGGGGGCCAGTAATATCTGCTGCAGGGATTCACTGGAGAATTCTGAGCAGACGAGAAGGAGGATTAGATTTGAGTAGTAGGGCTCTCTGGTTATGACATAAAGCAGGGATCTACAAGCTTTTCCTGTAGAGGGTCGGAGAGCCCATATTTGAGGTCATGTGGTGTCTGTCCTGTCACCTCAGCTGTGCCATTGCAGCGTGAAAGCAGCTGTAGATAGCAACCGGACAACTGTGCTCTGGTAACACTACATCTACAGAACCAGATGGCAGGGTGGGTCTGTCCTGTGGGCTGTAGTTTGCCAACCCCTCATATAAAGGATGGCAGGCCAGAAATACCGTGCTATTTAAGCGTGACAGTGTCAGTTTATGGTACTGATTCTACTGATGATGTCATTTGTTTTTCTCAGTCTCATAGAGTTTGGTTAGGACTGTGGTCCTTGTAAATAGCCATTCACTTGGAGGTATCAAATTTTGATACATAGCATTCATTTTTTTCACGTTTGTTAAATACAAAGGAGGGGAAGTGGTTCTTATGCATTAATTGCCTACCGGTAGTATACTCAGTATTCACTCTAGGGTAGTCGCCAGGTGTGTTCCCAAAGGAATGCTTTTGAAAAAAGCATCAGTCTTATACTTTTAGTATTCTCTATTTTTCTATTGCTGATTTAAAATTTTTTTTCTTTCAGAGTGAATAGGAGTTCTGAAAGATGATGCTTTAAGCAGGTAGGATTTTATGCATTTTAAAAAATTATATGTTGACTAAGGGAAAACAGAGAAAAGAAACTTAACATTTGTTGACTGTTCTGCTCTGGGTTAGACACTGTGTTACGTGCTTCACATCCGTTACTTCACACAGTCATCACAACAGCTGTGCAAAGCAGCTGTGCTGTTACAGCTGACTTTTCATTCATTAGGCAACTCTGGTTCAGGGGGGTTGAGTGACTGACCCGTGGTTCCATAGGTCACAGGTAGCTGACCTGTGACTTGACCATCAGACAGCCTGGCTCCCAAAACTGCTTTCTTGTCCCTCAGCAGAGATTTTTTGTTTGTTTAAAGAAATGAAATGACTCTTTTTTGTTGTGTATTTTTGTTCTAAGGGCTTCCCAACAAACCTGATCTTGATGACTCGTGGCCTTCATCAGATGAAGACTCAGATTTTGAGTCCAAGGTAAAGTGTTCTCGTGAAATTAATTCTGCTCTGAATTTAGTTTTGTGTAGTATTTACTCTTAAAATTGAGCAGTGGTCTACCTATCACTGTTCTATGTTTGTGTTGGAAGTTTGGTCAGAGTGAACTGTTTTATAAAAACAAGACTAACTGAATTTTCTTTTTACTTTGCTAAATACTGAAGATGGGGTCTGAGGACAAAGTGGAGTAGAAAACATACAGTGACAGGAAAATTGTATTGGGAAAAGTTGTCCCACGATGGAGGAAGCATGAAATGTTGCCAAGGAGACAGATTCTTACTCTGCCTTTTAAACCATCCTGGCGTGACTTTTGTAACACTCCTGCCTAAATGAAATCTTCAGTAGATACAGTTACTTACTGGAATAATCATGGAGTCTTCCTGGGGCTTTTCAGTTCCAAAACTATATTCCATGTGTTGTCTAATTTTTTTTCTTGGACACTTTTTTTTTTGGTACCATAGAGTTGTTAGGAGAGAGGTTTTTTTCCCCTCTGTATCTGTCTTTGATTCTGCATGAAGACTAAAATAATAGCTGGAATTGTAGAAATTTAGAAATTAAAGTTATTTATCCAAATCCATATTATAAAGGGATTCCTCTGTGTTTTCAAAATCATTCCATTAAGAGTATATTCAAAACCCTTGCATCTAATTGGATAATACATGTTTCCTCTAAAATGATAACCAGTTCTCAAAGAAGACTCTTAAGAACCATGTGATAAAACCTACAACTTTAGAATTTTTTTGTACTATAGTTTAAAAAAATATGTCCTCAGAGTCCTTATGTCACATCTAGAATTTCACATTTCAGACATTTTGTAGTATAGTTACTTAAAAATTCATTTTGTAGGCCCTGCATCAGTATAAACTGCTGGAGATTAGGAAACATAATTGTGCATTTCCTGGAGCACCTAGGATAAGGCCTTAAATGTACAAAACATTTTAGTATTTTTTGAATGTGAATACATGAGCAGACAAATGGAATTCTGTATCGTGTTACAGGTAATATAATATGCACACTCTATCATAATGAAATCTATTTGAATTCTAAAAATACGACTTAAGTTTCTATTCCCTTTGTTTAGGATGTGTAAGTTCAGTTGCTGTGATGAGGAAGTACATCATAAGTAGCAAGGAAATAAATAAGTATGTGGTAAGTAGGAAAGAGGTTGCAGTATATCCACTAAGTGTGAGCTTAAAATTTTAGATTAAAATTGTCGAACCTTCTCCTTAGCCCCATTTCATGTTCCGTTAAATGTGTCTTTTCAAGCCATATATTCTTCTTAGAATTCTCATTACCAGTTCTTCAGGTGGAAAGTTGGTGTGTTAGGTAGGAACTTTTTAAAAATCTATTTCTCTCTCTCTCGTAGTAATTTATAGCATTCAGGTAGTGATAGATGACCATGTTCGGTTGAATGACTTACAGTGACAAAATGAAACTCTTTATTATAGTAGTATTTATAAACAAATAGCTGTAGAGTAATACAAATCAGTATCAATAGGGATATATACTAGGAACAAAAGCCTCTGTTTTTTACATATATATGTCATATTTTGGTATTTTTGTAAAATTTGCTGAAGAACAATACATATACTTATCTATATAATTTGTATATATCTTAATATAGAATAAAAACATAAAACAGGCTTTCGTTCATAGTATATCCCTAACAATGCTGATGTATCACATCTATTATGTATGTGTGAAATATATGTATTTCTCCACATACCTTACTACTCTTATTTTTTAAATTTTATTTTATTGAGTTACAGTCAGTTTACAATGTGTCAAATTCCAGTGTAGAGCACAATTTTTCAGTTATACATGAACATACACATATTCATTGTCACATTTTCTTTTTCTCTGTGAGCCTACCACAAGATCTTGTATATATCTCCCTGTGCTATACAGTATAATCTTGTTTATCTATTCAGCATATGCCTGTCAATATCTACAAATTTTAAACTCTCAATTTTTTTTTATTGAGGTATATTCTTATATTTTCTTTTTTTTTTCATGCCTTAAGTTTGTACTGGACTAGTCATGTCTCATTTTTTTTCTTTTCTTCCTCTTCCTGCCCCACTTATTTTACTTTATTTTTTAATGATTTACTCCTAACCTAATTTTTTCTGTTTAGTATGTGTGTGGCTTTCATTCATGAGTCGTTGCCCCTCAGATTTTCTCTTGTTTTTATTCCTCTTCCTTTGAAGGAGCTGAATTTAAACAATTATTTGTCTTTAGGTTTTTGACCCCTGGAATAGAAGTAGCTTACACTGTTTGCTGTTCTAACCCATCCAAATAAGATCCTGCTAAAAACTATAAGCTCTCATATTCCCCCCGTGAAAGATAATTCATGCATATGTAAATCATGCAAACACATTTCAAAATACAACAATCAATTTAAATTTCTTAATGTTAGTTTTTCAATGGTATTCTTAGCTTCCAAGGGTAAGTTTTTGTTCTAGATCATTTTGCTCTAGAAAGTCATCTAATGTAGCTACCACAGTATTTGTGTAATAAGCAATGAGGGGTAAGGAAAGTAACACCTGGGAGCTCCTGATGTCACTCCTCATAATCCTCACCCCAGGAGAAGATGCAGGTCGACAAAGGTCAGAACCGGGATTGGAGCCCACGTCTGAATGACTCCGAAGCCTGTGCTCTTTGTGTTCAATCATATAGTAATGGGGAATGTTCGAATTATTTTATTTAGTTTCGTACTTGTTATTCTTAAAGCTGTAATTTTCTTCTCTAGAATGTCCTGAAACCAAGCTTCACAAAGCTAAGTTATGGCTCTCAGCAGCCCAGGGAAAACTAAGTTGTTTGAAGTTGTTCTTGTGCTGTTCCCTGATTTGAAATTACAGATATTTTCACCTACCCTATCTTGTTCTCACAATAGTAGAAGGAAGACACGACATTATGAGGCCAGGAATTAGAACCTTTCTTGAGGACAGTTCTGATGGTGAAAATGAAGATGTGGTTGGAACCTTTCCCAAACTGTCCCATCAAAGTCCCAGGCTTTTCTTACCCTGCCTGCCCATCACTGGAGCGTAGAGCTTAGTATGTGGCAGAGCATATGCTTAACATGCAGGAGTTCCTGGGTTGAATCCCCAGTACCTCCATTAAAAAAAAAAAAAGCCAATATAAAAAATCTGAAGTGTGTAGATCCAAATATGATGTCCATTGTTTAAGTATTTTTCTTTTTTAAACTTTTTTATTTTATAGTCATTTTACAATGTTGTGTTAAATTCCATTGTAGAGCACAATTTTTCAGTTATACATGAACATATATATATTCATTGTCACATTTTTTCTCTGTGAGCTACCTTGAGATCTTGTGTCTATTTCCCTGTGCTATACAGTATAATCTTGTTTATTTATTCTACCATTTTGAAATCCCAGTCTAAGTATTTTTCTTTTGCCACCTTTCTTCATAAGTATCCCAACCACGACCAAGCTTTTCTTCCAGAGCATGCTTCAACCCTCTGAAATTCTTTTGTGCCACTTTATTTTTTTTGAAATATTCAGGAATGGAGATAGGCTTATATGTGTGTTTAAAATTTACAGTGGTAAATGTTCTCATTAATGAATCTGTGACTACATTTTATAGGTATGATGTCAGCATTGAAATTAGGAAAAAAGAAGATACAGAATCTCCTTGGGATTCTGAGGTACTGTCTAGTATCATCATCATCATCATCATCATCATTCTAAAATGTAAGCATTGAGTGATGTTCAAACAAATGGAGGGATGCTTTGACTTTACTGCCTCACCTTTGCATTTGCCCATCAGTTTTCTTCTTATATTTTTAATCTACAGTTGTTAAAATCATTCTGCGCTAAATGTCATAGTACTGCATAGTGCACTTCTGTTAATTCTCCAGGCTCACCTAATAAAACCGGTGTATATAACGCAAAACACCAAGACTTAGAAGTCCCAGCAGATTGGTTTGGGCTCTGAAGTTAAGTTTTTTAAAAACTAAAGAATTACTCTTGGTCAGCCTGTGACCAAACATGTGTTTCTTTGGTATAAATGGATGTGTAAAACTCCTAGTGAGATTCAGAGAGAAACAGGTTGAATTAAAAAAAAAAGTTCTTTAGCTTTGGTTTGGTTTGGTTTGGGTTTTTTTTTTATACCACTTTGACCTTGAAAAGACTGCCTGCAACTTGAAGGTATTTGGATTGTCAAGTAGATGTGCAGAAGACATTTTAGGGGAAGCAAAAGTGTGTTTGAGAGTAATAAATATGTGGGGTTTTAATACCAACAATTTGGCTTAGTGATGTTTTAATGAGGAGAACTCATTTTGGATAGTTCAAATAATGTGCATTGAGTACCTTTACGGTGACCGTGCTCGAAGTGATGTAGGTACAGAGCAGTGATGACCTGTTCTCAGGTGACGGCTGTGGAAAGAGGCTAGAAGAGCCTGAGCTCTGGAATCCAGGTAGCTGCTACCTAGTGGCACAGCAGTGTATTTGAAGTCAACAGATGTGGCGTCATCCTGGTTCTGTGATGTGCTGTGGGGTCTTGGAAAAACTTGTTTGACCTGTTTGATTGTCGGTGACCTCATTGGTAAAAATGGTACTGACACCTACCTCTCAGGTATGTGTAGTGAACAGATGTAACAAATGTGAAAACATTGTTGTCTGTAAATGGTGCTATAAAATCTAAGACAGGATGATCACTGTGGCAATGAGTGTTGAGGACTAAGTGTTGAGGACACTTTTAACACCTGAAGGACAATAAAATGGCAGAGTTAAGCAAGGGAAAGTCAGAGCAGGCATGTGGGTTTCTCATTTGGGGTGTGTTACGTTTCAGGAGACTATTATTGGAGATCTCTGATAGGTATAGAGTGCTTTGGTACTTGAGTTCGTGTTGAGATTTGACATGTTTTGACCTTAAAGAAATTCTTGTTCCCGAACACCAGCTGTGTGCCAGGCAGTTAGACACTGAGTGTACCAGTTGAGGGGTTAGGCTGTAGCAGTAGGAACAGAAGAACAAGGGAACAGGAATCCTCTCTCAGTCACAGTAAGTCCTTCACATAATGAACATGGAGAACGTTAGGTTGGACCACAGTGGGGGACTTTGTAGTTAGGATGGGGTGGAGTGAGTGCGGAATTTACGTAGTCAGCACAGCTGTGAGTGTGACCAAATCTGCCAAGTGAAGGAAGGGAAGGAGCCCGTCATGTAAAGGCCCCGGGGAGCGACGTTCTGGGCAGAGAGCACAGAGGGTCCCACCTGCTCATTCCTGTTCCCCAGCACCTTACAGTGGCCAGGAAGCAGCAAGTGGGTAACCGTCCTTATGACCATTTTTACTATTGTGTGTGTAGGAAAAAAATGTGCATCATTAAGGGTGTGGCACATGCACATGGTTAAGAAATAAATTTTCTTACTCTTCCCTTAAGTTAAAGCTTCCTGTACTTTTTCAGAGAGTTGCATAACTATATTTAAAGTTTTTTGCTGTTATTAAAATACCTGTTTTTCTTATTAGTTTGCTAATTTATTCAAGTATTTTTCCTACCAATAAATGTTTTATCAAATAATAGATTGTGCTAAGCCCTTGTTAACTGAAATGAAGCAGCTTCTACAATGTTCTGTTAATACTAAGTGTGACAGACTCCAAGGTTGCTTTTCATGCCAAATATGTTATTTTAATACTAAAACCACATCTGTCCTTAGAAATATTTTTAATTTGTAGCAAGTATACTTACTAAAGAATTTGTTTTAAAAAATATTTATTTAATCTTTTTATTGAAGTGTAGTCGATTTACAATGTTAGTTTCAGGTGTACAGCAAAGCATTCCAGTTATGCATAGAAAACTATTTTTTAAAATGCTTTCCATTGTGGGGTAATGCAAAATGGAGTTAGGCATTTTGAAGTTAATTCTCTGTTGAAATATGAATATAAGTCAATATTTTATCTCTGAAAATATTTACCTTGGCTTTCCATGTTCCATTTACTGAGTGAAAAGACAGGTGAAGCTAAAAGATAGACTTGATCTAGAGAATGTATGTGAAGTTTTCTATTTAAATGTTTGGGTTTCCAAGATACGCTTCTCTTATTTTTAAAGTCTAATTGCTTTTAAAGGAGGAAACAAAGAAAAATTAGGTAAGAAATGCAGGTATTTTCTTAGAAAGGGGTTAGGAAATCTTTATGCAACTCATTATTAATATTGATTTTAACAGAGTATCTCTGAGAGTCTACCACAGAAGTATGTTGATCATTTTTCTGGGGCTGCAGATCAAACAGGAAAAAATATATTAAATGGACAAACAGAAGGTAAGAACTGGATTTTATTAAAAAGTTACTTGACAGACTGTTGATTTAACACATGAATTCTGATGTATTCTAAAAACCAAAGAAAGTCACCTGTTGTATAGTGAGGGAAAAGAGGAGAAAAGGAGGTAAATTGTGTATCTTATCAGATGTCAGCAGCAGATGAAATGGAGAGTGCCGTTTGAGGAGCTAAATTGTTAGCTTCATTTCAGGATGCTCTGTGACCTAGGGACAGTCAGGAAATGAGGGAAAGAGGGGATGAAGAAGTAGAGAGGCAGAGAGGACAGGCAGTGAAGGAGGGAGAAGGAGGGAAGGCCTGTGGGAGAGTGTGTAGGGGGAATGGAGCCACTCAGGCTCTCTGGCCGGACCGCCGGTGCCCAGTGACTCAGCTGTTACCCGCACGCGCAGTACCCATGTTGTGTTACATAGGCATGATTCGCACCACGCAAGCACACTGGTTGCTCCTAGGGGATTGTTGGCTAGATACTGGCTTTATTTGCTTTGATATGTAAGGCGGACGGGATTTTTCGCTGCCGCCATCGAAGCCCGTGGACTCCTCTGCCGTAAAGGCATGTCAGAGATGCGTACGGCTCCCAGAGTATACTTCGACCTGCCCAAATACCCCGTGCACCTGCCAGGCCTTGAGTGCTTGCTGAGTCTCCCAGACACCAGTGGCAGCTGTGGTGCCCATTTCTGCATCTGTAGTGTGCGGAGCTCCATCAGAAGGGGAACCGGGGTGGGGCTGTGTGTTACCACTCGTACTGATGATACCCCCAAATCTCAGTAGCGTGAAGCAGTAGAAGTCTGATGCTTGCTCACACTCACGTGAAGCCCTGCAGGTTTCCCTCCACGTGGTTTCAGTGATGCAGGCTCTTCCCATCTGGTGGTTCTGCCTGTCTTAACCACTTGGCATCAAGCTGGTGGAAAAGGAAAGGAAAAGTATCATCAGATGGTATGCACTGGAGATGTTTGTGGGCCCAACTTGGGAGTGGCTCACACCACTTCCACTCATCCATCCCTGGCTAGTGTCAGGTGACACAGGATGGCAAAGCATTGGAACCTGTAGTCTTGCTGCTTACCCAGGAAGACAAGGAAATCGCTTTAGTGGCCGGCTACAGTGTCTGTCACAGATGACAGTGGGCTCTTAAGTATCTGCCTGTTGGTACAAATTGTTTGCAGGTGAGTAAATTGTTAAGTGAAAAAACCCCACCTGATTGCAATTCAGGATAAGTAAGTTAAGCTGAATGAATACCAGAGAAATCCACACTAAGTGGCTTGGAGTGGGAGGTATAGCTCAGTGGTAGCGCATGAGCTTGCTGTGCTCAGAGTCCTGGGTTCAATACCTAGTGCCTCCCTTAAGGAAAAAAGAAGAAGAAAAAAAAGATACTGGCCTGAGTTCTTTGGGGATAAACCTTGACACATAGGTTAGTTTTCCATTTCTGGCAGAAACAAAGGAGATAAAACAGATCAGTACTAACCAGTGTTCCAGGCAGATTCAGACACAGAGATACTGATCCTTTAAAGTTCTTCCATCGAGTGTTGAAAACAGACTTAATAAAAATAAACTGCTACTTTTAATTTGCTGGTGCTGTCTGAAAACACACAGCCACCTTTCATGTTCTTTTCTTTCTTGGATTTATTTAACACACTGACTCAAGGTCTTCATATTCAGGTCACACCCCGAGCTGTGGTTGATCAGGACAAGTTAGCTACCTCCTAACCTTCTCTGACTACTCTTGTAAAAAGGTCCTAGAAAGAGCATGGACTTTGGCGTTTAATCACTGAACAAGTCAGATGTCTTCTCAGCCTCTGCTGTGTTCCAGGTGTTAGAGATAAAAAGATCCCGAAGACAGAGGATGGCCCTGCAAGAAGCTCACAGTCTACTGATGGAGACAAGAATGTAAGTAAGTGAAGCTGCACAGTGGGGTCAGGGCAGCACTGGCAACATGCTCTAGGGGTTGGAGGAGGGCTCTGCAGAGTAAGAAGTGCTCAGCGTTGAGGGGAGGGGGAAGGGAGGAGTGGGTGAGGAACAGAACAGAGATAAGGGGTAGGCAGGAGCCAGAACACAAAGGATCTTGTGAGTCATGTTATCCTGTAGGTGACTAGGAGCCAATTTTCACTTTGGAGCACAGGGCCAGTGATCAGAGAAACGTTGTCTATTGATGCTGTAATAGAAAAGAACAAATCTGACTCCTGTCAGGTCTGCTCCTTTGGCTCTAACCCTGTTCCCTGTTTACTAGGCTCAGTCTTGCCAGCTCTGCACCTTTTGTAAAACAACGTTGCCTTTAGCCTGAAATAGAAGGAGAGCCTGTTCTCAAGGCTCTGACCTTTAAGGGTATTAACACCTTTGCACTTACATAAAGATAGCAAGTTGCAGAATGGAAAATAGCATTTTGTGGGAGGTTTTACAAGCACACTGTGACCTGACCCAGGTGGACCACTGCAAGAACAAAGAATTCCTACACCAAGAAGTTTGCAGCAACCAACCATACTCCCTCCCCTTTTTAGTAGAAAAGGAGCCTGAATTCTGACTTGGAGAAGATGGTTCTCCAGGACATTAGCCTGCCATCTTCTCAGTCAGCTGGCTTTCCGAATAAAGTCGCTATTCCTTGCCACAGCTCATCGTCTCCCAGTTTATTGGCCTGTCTTGCAACGAGCAGATTGAGTTTGGACTCGGTAACAATGCAAGAATCATGCCAATTTATTTGTAAAAATGGCTTCCCAAAACATCTTTGTGTGGTCTTACTCTATAAAATTATGCTAGCATGATGTGTGTGTGTCTCCTAGAGATTACATTTTTCAGGTTACTGGCATGGAAGATCTCTATGTCACAGGCAGTGAGAGTCCTTGTGTTCCCTGGGCTTGGGCTTGTAAGATGATTTTCTTTTCTCTCTAGAAGAAAGTTGCTCAAAACCAACTCCAAATATAATCTAAATGCATTCCACTTGAGGCTGGGGGAGCATTTCATGTTGCATGGATTTATATACTGGTTTAGCAGCAAGTAACTAATTTTAACAGTCACCTTGCTTATTCCAAAAGAGCAGGGAATGGGGTCGTAGAGGGAAGGAAAATAACTCCGAGATAGTCTAGGACATCGCAGTTACCCAGCGAACACAGGATCACTGGGAGTGTTCATCACTTCGGGAAGCAATAGAGCGAGTCTAACTCTGGACTTCTCCTTAGAACCACGTGGAGAGCTTTAAAACATTCTGATACTCAGTCACATCCCAGATAAATTAAATCAAACTCAGGAATTGGGACCCATGCAGCAACATTTTTGAAAATGTCCTCTTACTAAAACATGAGGCTGAATTCACCCTTTTTCTTTTTTTCAATTTTTTTGCCTTTAGTTTTTTTTTAATTTTTAATTTTTCTTAAAAAATGCATTAGTTCCCCAAGTGATTTCAATTCACAGCCCAGTTTGAGAAACACTGATCTATTAGATAGGATTACCTGTTAGATGGAAACTGCAAGTTCCAGTTGATCAATTCAGTTCATTTCAGTCATGTGCCAGACTTGGTCCTGGGGGCTGGGACACAGGCCCTGCCTTCAAGTGTGTCGCAGTGTAGGAGGAACCTGGGGATGGCAAAGAGCCACAGACTGGGTGTGGAACGCCAGTACAAATGTGCACCAGTGAAAGGAAGCGGGTGGGGGGGAGCATCCTGGTAAATATTCGGTAACTGTCTTGTTCTGTAGCTGGAGAAACTGGAACATAAATCTAGAAGGACTCGCTAGAGGAAACATTGTATCTTGGATGAGGATGAGAAGCCAGGAAATTGGCTTCACCCTTGTGGGTGGTACACTGTTAACTTCTGCCCATCAACTCCAGCCTCCACTAAGGATTTTAAAGCAAAACAAATCAAGAAGGCTTTTTAAAAAATTGCCTAAAAACAGCAATGTATTTCTAGATAAAATTTGCATACAACACTAACTTGAAAAAAGTGTTTTTCTCTTAAATGTTTAGAGCTTGAAGGGCTCTGCCATGCAGCAGGACAAGATTTTATCTTATTAGCCAAAGGCAGCATTCTCATAGGGCTGTAATTTGTAATATGACAAAGATATTGAGACATTTTTTACCAAAATCTGATAAATGACTCACGAACCACAGTGATTCTTGTTTCTTTATTTTGCTTTCTTTTTCACGGGGGGCCCACTCTGGGCTTTTTCCCAGAGTAGTATCTGCACTTGCTCTTTCTTTTTCACTTTTTTTAGATGAGTGTCATGAAGGGTAGGAGTGTTGAGTCCCAGTTCTACTCAGGACTCTGGGACTACGTCTCCTTGTCTGTAAAATGATGACAGTACACGTGGGGCTGAAAAGCTAGAGTATTAGCTTTAACAAATGGGAAAGAACTGTGTGTGGGTTTTTACACTTACAAAAGCTGGTAGCGATGAATAGTGGGGACAGGTGTCACCCTTGAACTTCTAAAGTCTGTTTAGAACATCCGCTTGATATTATCACGTGTTTCCCTAATTAGCTGTGCTCCGGCACCTTTCTGCTATTTGGAGGAAGCCACGCAGTGTCCAGTAACACTGAATTGACAGATTCATACAAAGTCCCTGCATTGTCAAGTTGGGGTAGGGGGAGAAACTTCTAGGTATTAGTGAACTAAAGCTAAGTAAGAAAAGAATGTAAGAGTAGTTTAGCAAAAATTTTACATGTCCCACAGCAATTTAAAACATAAGGTAATTTATATTACCGCTTACAACGGGCTTCTCAGATATTGTCACAACAAGCACAAAATCAAAAGTTCATTTTCATGATCCAGGGTTCACTAAGAAAGGCCCCTTGTCTTGATATGTATAGAGTAGTGAGTTAGCATTTTAGAAGGCAGGCATTTCTAGGTTCCAGGCAGAAGAGGTGAGCGTACTTTGTGTAAGAATTCTCTGTGGCTTGACTCAGATAATAACAGACCTTTCGCTTTTCCATCAGGACTTGGGAGTTGCCCCGCGGCTGTAGGAGCAGTGACTCGCTGTAATGGAGCTGTTATGTAGAGATGCTAAGATGCAGAGGAAAGTTCTAGAGCATATGGGAGAATGTTTGCTGGAAAATTACTTGGTTAGAACCTGACAGTCTTACCAGCGTCCTGGGGTTGGTGGATACCAGTGAGGCTGTGGATGTCACCGCTGAGCAACTTCGTTTTAAGGTAAGTGAGGGGTCGCTGTCTGTCTACTGAAAAAGGCCAGTTTGCTGTGATGTTCCCAAGGTATAAACATTTCTGACCAGTGCCAGGAGATTTTCTTGTCTGTTGTATGAAAAACTGATCAGGAAAAAAAATCTTCATTTTTTAAGGGAAAAAAAACACGTTTCAACTTGATGCTGGTGTTTTAAATTAAAGCATCAAGTCAGTTTAGACACCTGGCCTTACTTGGTGGTTTTCTAACTTGCCAGTGTTGTATTTTTTCCCCAACCATGAGGGAATCCTTTAACAGAGACAGGCAGACAGGGGACACAACTAGGCTCTGCACTGATGGGAGCAGCAGCTCCTCCTCCCCAACCTGGTGTGACCCCAGGGTGGACATGGGAGATGGTTTTAAAACAATTCTTCACTTTCACAGAAAAGGGGAACTGGAGGGAGCAGCCTAGCCTGCTGGAGAGTCTGTACATGGAACAGAGTCTGAGCCCCACCCTCAGCAGGCAGTAACTTGCTTCCCTCACTGACACCCCCTCCTGTCTGCACTCCTGTGCATACAGGAGGCCCAGCCCACAGAGACCCTGGCTGCGCAGAGGGACCAGCCACTCTGTATCTGTTGGTGTTTCTGTACTATGTACAGTGTTGTGTGTTAGAGCCCCCATCTCCAGCTTCAGCCTGAAGCCTCAGGTGGGCAGATGGACCCCACCCCTCACTGCACACTGTGGGCTGGGTGAGATTAGACCCCAGTAGAGAGTAGCCCTGCTCCTCGCCAGCCAGGACCAAGGGGCCATTGAAATAGAAAGGTCAATGCTGGACAAGATGCAGGCCAGTGGGAGCAGGCAGGGGTGGGGGGACCTGGGGCAACGCTGAGAGGTCAGGGGTGGCAGGTATGTCATGGACCAGGTGGGGCTGGACAGGCATGGGCTGAGTGTGGATGGGGGCAGGGTCAGGCAACTCAGCACAAACAGTTCTGCTGGCTAACTGGGCCAGTGGCTGCCACTGCCTGGGGTCCTCTCCCACCCCGTGCAGGGCTGCCTCCAGCCTCAGGAGGGCCAGGCATCCGGGGCCCAGGCTCCAGGTGTGCGCGTGGGGAGGGGCGCTTGTGTCAGGTGGGCTGGGCTGGGGGGCAGGTATACAACATCTGTGGGCACATCCCCTCAGGTGGAGGTCAGTGGGATCAGTTCTTGGAGAGTTGGCAGGTCATCGTTGCTGTTTGTGGGGAGGTTGGGTGGGCCCAGGTAGGACAGCCACTCATTGGGGTTGGTCAGTTCTGGAAGCAGATCCAGGGCTGGCTCTGGGGCCTCCCCTGCCCATCATGCCTGTGGTAGCACTGAAGGTCAGCTCGCCAATGAGACCCCAGTTCATGGCCCAGGGGCTGCCGGGACCCAGGGGGAGGGTTTGGATGGTGCAGCTGGGGCCCTGGTGGGCCTCCAAGGTTGGGAGTGTGCAGCCCTGGTGGCCCAGGGTTATGGTTCGGGGTCCAGGTGACCTGCTGGTGCCATCCGACCAGGGAGGGAGGCTGCAGACTTCTCTGGTGTTGGGGCTGCTGGGAATGTCGGATTGATAGGGGATGGGAGGTGGCCCTGGGTGAACTCAGTAAGGGTCGAGGTGCTGGGCATGGTGGGCAGGAAGGAGTCCAGAAAGGTCCCTGGTCCCAGGAAGCTGGAACCCTCGCTAGGGTAATCGCCGGGGGCGGGGGCTGGGGGCTGCAAGGTGATGAAGGGAGTGGCACCAGGCCAGGGCGTCGATCATCTCCATCATGCTGGGCATGAGCACAGGGCAGGGTTCACGGTGTGGCAGCACTGGCCCATCCTGCTCCTCCTTGACGTGCACATCAGGCTTCACAGGTACTGGCTTCCCTTCCCGCTGCACGTGGGGCCGATGGGAATCTCATAGTTGAGTTCAGAATGTAAATGAGGATGCCCAGCGTGTACTGGTCCACCTCCAGGCCCTCAGCAATGCTGTCTTACTGCACACAGGGCACCTTTTGGTCTCTCGCTCACAGTTGAGCTGTAGATAAGAGTCTAGCTTGAACCACTGTGTGGTGACAGTCGTGACCTTGGACAGGAAGCTGGATTCTGCTGAAAGTGATGTGACACTTGAGTGACACCTTGGTGACTGTCTGTGCCACCGTGTCCTCTGTTGGGTCCAGGGGTGCTGGGGATGGTGCAGCTGCTGAAGTTCCGCTTTATCTCAATGACGCAGTGCTCAGCAGGCAGGAGGAGACCCTGCAGCACGGAGTGGACGGAAGGCCCGTGCACCAGCTGCGGCATGAAGAGGTGGGAGCTGCGGCAGGTCGTGACAGTGATCTGGATGGTGTTGCGGCCCGGCTGGCACACGTGTTTCAGGTATAAAGGCTTGTGGGAGGTCTTGTCACCACGCTCAATGGTGGGTAGGGTGGCGTTGACGCTGACCCGGACCAAGGCCGGCCAGTTGGTGTTCATCTGCTGCTCCTCTTGGTGGTAGCATTTGAACTGCAGCTCCAGGTCAGGCCTCAGCATCAGGGTCTGGACAGAGTCTCGGAGCTGGAAGGCGTGGTTGCTCACAGCCAGGATGTGCTGCAGGTGAAAGGGCTCGAGGACCATGTTGTCCCGCTCATGGAAGGTCAGCCGCAGCTGGTCACAGGCTGCTGCCAGGGGGTGACAAGTTGCTCACGTTGGGCTTAAGGTCAGGCAGGAAGGGAAATTTGACCTCCTGGCTGGTGGACATGAAGGGGGCGCTGCTGCCGGAGGTCATGGGCGGCGTGGGGCTCTCTGGCAGTGAGGAGCTGGGGTAGCTGGGGACGAAATGGCTCGTAGTGCAGCCCTGCAGGGCCAGAGGTAGTCAGGGACTGGCTTCCGCCCTCCTGCAGGGATAGCCTGTGCCCAGGGTAGGAGGAGGAGACAGGAGGCTGGCCAGGGCCAGGTGCATACTGGGTGGCGCTGGGCCCATGCTGGCCTCCCTGCAGGTATTGCTGCCTGGGCTACACCTCACTGGAGTAGGCTCTCTTGACGCCCTGTTGGGATCGTGTCTGGTCCTGGGGAGGCTCAGGGTGCCCATGCTGGGGCAGGCACTGCCCTGTGTTCAGGAGCACCATGCCCACTGCCCAGGTGTGGGGCTCATGCCCGAGGGGCCCATCAGCCCTCCCACGGTGGTAGAGTTCCTGCTGCTGGGAACGCTGGGCCCCGAGGGACCTCTGTGCTGCAAGAACTGGCAGTTAAAAAGCTGCCCAGCCCTGATTCTTCTGTATTGGCTCAGCTCCTGGCTCTGTCTCTCCTGGAGGGCGACCCCAGTGGCTGTGACCTTGGCTGTGGCAGCAGCCTGGGCAGCCACCACCGCTGCTTGGGTGAAGTTGGTGGAGGGCCTTGTGACATGTGAGGGGAGGCATAGGCCTGCTGGACCCCCCACCGGGCCACCTGCATACCCGATGGTGAAGCCTGAGCCTCCAGGGTAGCCCCCGCGGCCATACACCCATTGCTGCACATAGCCCTTGTTGGTGCCACCCTCACCAAACACCTGCTGCCCCAGGCACTGCAGGGAGTTCAGGGCAGAGCTGCCTCCTGCCACGCTGGGCATCATGGAGATGAGGGGTTCCCCAAAACCTGGTTCTGCGCTCCACTGCAACTCCCCACATGGTTGTGACCACAGACAGCGATCCTACTGGCTGAGTAGCACTTTGTAGCCAAGGCACTGCCTCATAAGCAAAGGGACCATCCCCATCACCACGTGGCATGTGGGGCAGGACAGGTTTCGTGGGGTTCAAGGGACTCATTGGCTTGGGAGCAGCCTAAAGGCCAGGTCTGTGGGCAGAAGGAAGCAGCCCTCACCAGTGTTTATGCAGGACTCAGTTTCTCTGGCTGTGCAAGGCCCGGCCTGACCCCTCACCTCAGTGGTCCGGGATCATCGTTGCTCCACGCACTCAGCCCGCCCTCACTGCTGCCCCACCAGCCGGCTCCCAGGGCACAGTCGCCAATGTTGAATCTTAAATGTACTTATATTAATCATAGTTTAGAATAGCCACATCATTAAATAATAATTTTTTGAAAACATATGTTCTTGGAAATACACCCACTTCAAGTTTTGTTGTTAGATCTGGGGCTGAGGAGGGGCTGGGGAGGGAAAGGGTGCCAAACATGTGTTCGGGCCCCTGGCAAACTCCCAGAGATGTTTCCTATGTCTTCACTCCACTGCCAAAGGGAAGATGGGGACACCAGTGCCCACACCACTGTCCACACCGTGGTCCTCTCCTGCCAGCTGCAGTCCGCGTGGCAGTTCCTGTGACGTCCGTCTCCACAGGTCAGGTTTCTGCTAGGGAAGACTTTAACAGTCTCCTACTCTGCTCTCAACCAGCAACAATTAGTATTAGCAGATGGTTCGTGCCACTGCTGGGGATTACATACAATTTCTATTAAAAACACACACACACACACACACTTTTTACTCAAATCCTTAAGTCAGATCCACATGCTGAACACTTGAGCTCTCCTCTTAGATATAATGAAGTCAAGATAGTCTCTCTCATTTAAATTAAAGAAAAAATGACTCTCACATTTGAAATCAAGTGGGCTGTCTTCCCTCGCTGGGTTAGCCATCTGGTAAGGGGGACTTTCGGAGGACTTATATTCAGGCCAGGAATTTAGGGGAGAAAAAAATCATTATCCTTTTGTCCTTTTGTGCCTCACTCTTTTAATGTGGTCAAACTCTTTTTTTTTTTAATGTTTTCACAGGAGGTTTTTTTCTCCCCATATCTTTCAGATAACACATGGCAAATAAGTTGATTTCTTAATACATTTTACAGTCAAAATTTGCTTTTTTAGAGTTGTGGATCAGAAAAGCACATACCTGATTGAGATCACTTCAGCTCACTGTAAAACAGATTCGACGGGTTCACTCGCTCGATCTACTACATACTTGTGGTCCTTTCAATTACTGTGCCCTTTATCAGGGTAAGGTCAGGTCAGTTTCCTTTCCACATGTTTCAAAAGCTTGTGACTGCCCCCAAAGAGAGGGACTATAACTTTTGCATGTCCTTGGATTTTACTGTTCTATTCAGTTACGTTTTTCAAAAAACAGGTCTCAAAGGCTACTATTGATCTAGTCACTTTCTGGCTGTTTTCTTCATGGGTGGAGGCTGATTAGATCAAGCAGGTAAGATACCTGTTCGGAACAGCTACTTCATAGTAACAATTCTTTTCATCACATACCCTTCAACTTCAGAAAACCATAAATAATTCAAAGTTATAACTTTCCTGGAAATGAAGGTAGCTCGGGTCATTCTTGTTCTACAGAGGAGGCGGTTAAATTTCAGAGAAATAGATTTTTTTAACTTTTTTATTGAGTTATAGTCATTTTGCAATGTGTCAAATTCCAGTGTAGAGCACAATTTTTCAGTTATACATGAACATGCATATATTCATTGTTACTTTTTTTTCACTGTGAACTACCACAAGATTTTGTATACATTTCCCTGTGCTATACCATATAATCTTGTTCATCTATTCTCCATTTTGAAATCCCAGTCTGTCCCTTACCACACCCCGCCCCCTTGGCAACCACAAGTCTGTATTCTATATCTGTGAGTCTGTTTCTGTTTTGTATTTTTTTTTTAAGATTCCACATATGAGTGATCTCATATGGTATTTGTCTTTCTCTTTCTGGCTTACTTCACTTAGAATGACATTCTCCAGGAGCATCCATGTTGCTGCAAATGGTGTTATGTTGTTGGTTTTTATGGCTGAGTAGTACTCCATTGTATAAATACACCACATCTTCTTTATCCAGTCACCTGTTGATGGACATTTAGGCTGTTTCCATGTCTTGGCCATTGTAAATAGTGCTGCTGTGAACATTGGGGTGCAGGTGTCTTTTTGAAGTACAGTTCCTTCTGAATATATGCCCAGGAGCAGGATGACTGGGTCATACGGTCTTATTTCTAGTCTTTTGAGGAATCTCCATGCTTTGTTCTACAGTGGCTGCACCAACCTGCATTCCCACCAGCAGTGTAGGAGGGAGGGTGCTTTATTTTAATAAGCCTGCCCAGCTCAAACACAATGGAGATGGAGCTAGAACCTGAATATTCTTTCTGCCTTTTGTAACTTTATTCATTTTCCCATGTTCTATACATTGCATCTTTGAATAAATTTTTTAATATTCGTGACAATTTTCAGGAAACCATTTGTAAAATACTCATTTTGAAACAGCCTAGATCTCAGTTAGGAACCTGTTGTTAGTTTATGCAAAGCTTGCCTTTTGTTAAGCCATTAAATAAGTAAATTTGTATGTAAAACATATGATAGATAGTATGAACGCATAGTCGTCTAGGCTCATGGGGAGTAGTTTTCTTTTTCTATTTCTAAATAAAACACCCAGGGGGAGGGTAGAACTCAGTGGTAGCACCCATAATTAGCACTCACAGGTCCTGGGTTCAATTCCCAGTGCCTCCATTTTTAAAAAAAAGTTATAAATGAATGAATAAGTAAGCAAATAAAACACCTTGCATGCATTTAAACATTTTAAGAAAAATTTCAAAATCAGTCAGTGTAAGATTAATTTTCTCAAAGGGAAGGAAGGAAGGAAAATCAAGAGAGGTCGATGGCATGAGAAACCTGTGAAATGGCTTTGTGATGTGTCGTTTTGGCTAGGTTGAACTAAATTTCCCAGAATCCCGTTTCTAATGATGTGGGCCATAGGGGAGAGTCTTGGGTGATTTGGAAGCAAAGGACCGGAGCAGCGATTTTGTAGTGTGTACACGCGCGCACACACACACTCACACACAGACACACACACACAGGACTGCTGATCTACTGACGACTCCTGACATGAAGCAGCAGCTTGAGCCGCAGCTGCCTTCCTGCCCCCTGGGTCTTCCCTAGTTTCTCTGACTCTTGGGCCTGGGGTGTCTGTTTAGGTTTGTGACCAAGGCCCTGGTTTCTGCAAGTGTTAGTGTTCTATTGTTGCTGGAACAAATTACCTCAAACACAGTAGCTTGGAACAATTTCTTCTCTTCCAGTTCTGTAAGTTAGTCATCTGACTTGCATCTCACGGGAATAAAATCAAGGTCTTTTGTTCAACCCATGCTTGTTTTGATGGTGAAAAAGAACTTTATACTAGTGAATCCTGTGACAGCAGCATTATTTCTGTCATAAGGAGAAAAATGTAAATGGCGGGGAAATTTTTATTGTAAACACTTTTTCATGATTTTCTTTAAAATCCAGGCATCAATATGAGAAGTATGAGAAAACTATCCCTTAAACACTTTGAATATAGAAGTATTTATATTAGACAGGGGCAAATCATGTATCCCCTTAAGTAATAAGTAAATATATAACCATGGGAAATGAGTTTAAACAGCTTGGTCTGGGTGCATTCA